AAAAATATTCTTTTTTAAAAAAATAACATCTAAAAATAATAAATTAAGATTAAAAAAAATACATAAAATAAGTCAAAAATTAAATGAAAATTAACAAAAAAAATCTTAAACAATCTAACATAAAAACTAAAAGAAACATAAATAAAAACAGAAAAATTTTAAATTATAAAAAAGAGAAAACTATATTTCGCTGTTGCAGGACGCGAACTCGGATCTTTAGAATTGCATGAAAGTGCTCTGCTCTTTTGTCGATATTGATTTCGAGGTGTTTTTTTTTTTGTTTAAATGCTACGCTGTAATAGCTACACAAGTATTTTGGCCCTACAAGCCATTTTTAGCCGAAGAACACCGTCATATATGTACGATTTTTCAGAATAGCAAACTTTGAGGAACACCCCCTGTGAAATTTACGGTCTTTTCGCCTGGGGACGTTTCGTGCTCTAGAAGACGCTCGTCAACGTAGCCCAATGATCCAATGCATGGTGCATATTTAACCAGTTCTCTAGTACTTTTACCCGTTGAATCTATAGCTGGGAACCTTCCCAATTGAGGCTTAGGCAAACACAGTAAGTCAGTAGAATAATATCAAATGTTGAGCAAGCTGTGTCATTTAGTTTGTATTTGGCAGTCATAGAAGGTAAGCAAGTTTTTTGAGATACGAATTGACTATTTGACTATTGACTCGGTGGTATGAAGAGCTGAACAAATGTAAACTTCGTATCTAGGGGAGTTCTACTATTTCGAACTGATAATATAAGTGGAAAACAACCAGATTAAATGTGTCGCGTTAATAATAGACAAAATTGAGAAAGTAAATCTTGTTGTATTCCCAAAGTGTCCGGCTTATCAAACCGCCGAATATTTACCCAGAATGTTTCATCACGTTCGAAGAACTCTACAAGCTCCTCTGGGACTTCACACTCCATAATGCGCAACACTTTGATATCCTTCAAAGCATTCGCCAACTCCTGCGTGAAATTCACTGACAGTACACCAAATTCGTCCTTTTGCAACAGCGTCTGAGCCATGCCATGGTCAATGTGTTCGCGCACTGTTGTATACCACTCTTCAAGTATGGTCTTCTTTAGCGCATCGATTTCGTTGAGCATTTGATGGTAAATATCCAGCGTTTGTTCGCCATGTTCGTTATCGAAAAGTCTTAAAAAAAATAGAAGAAAAAGCCAAATAATCACATGAAAAGCACACTTCCTTTTGCCGGAGGAAATTCAAAAATTTACGGGTATTCGTAGAGTTCGTAGTCTGTTTTGATCCATGTGATGCGATGCCGCAATTTGTGTAGCCAAGAAATGGCGCCAGAAAGTTTTGGAAAACATTTATCAGTTGGCAGTCCCTGCAAAGGTCAAAATAACGGCAGTGTTAAGCTTTGGTTGCCCTTATTTTTCTGTACAATCGCCATCGTTCACCTGCACACCCGACTGTTTATAAATCGCCTCGTAAGCATTAAAATCCTCCTTAACTGCGAGTATTTCCTCCTCCAAATCGTCCACCAGTATGTGCATATGCGGATCTATTTGCGCTTTGATGATCGGCCTCAGCAGCAAACTGCCACAGAGCATCAAATCGTGCGAGTCCAGCAGCGCCAATTCGAATTGAAAGGCCATGCGTCGCTCCAGCTGTTCGGCGAATTCGTGAAATTTCGCTACATCCTTTTCAAATTGTTCAATGAAATCGTCGGGGTCGAGCACATTGTATGTCATGCCGTTTGTCCAATCGCGATATTCGTTGTTGAATTTCTCAAGAATTTGTGAAAGTGCAGCGGATATTTGACGGCCCTTCAAACCGCCGACAACGATTTTTTCCAGCTTAAGGAAATCACGGCCCGTATCGAAGATTCCCTTCAACACATTAAGTCGATCTACAAAGCGATCGAATCTATCGAAAATCGTCTTCGGGTGCCATGTCCAGTCTTGTGAATTGAATTCTGTGCCAATTTTGAATTTCTTCAAGCTAGAGCGGCAGCTGTCATAAGTTTTCCTACATTAAGGGAGGCGAAAGGTAAGTAAGTTTGAAGCGCTTTATCACATCCACAACCATCTCTTCGGCACACTACTCACTTGTAGTAGTCTAAGTGATCAAGATTTGTCACAATGCGCTTGTAAGCCTCATCAACATCGCCAAAACAACTCTCCGGTTCGATGGTTAGTATGACATTCTCAATGATTGTGTTATGCAGCAGCTCGAAAAGTAGAACCATGTTGTCCAAAGTGTGAAAGTATTTTGAATGGCCCCACACCAGGCCAACGGTTAGCAGCAACGGCCGCAATTGAGCGCGATTGTCCTCCATGCGATTCGATTCGAAAGTGTCCACCATTTTGGCCTGAAATCAATAGTAAGTATATTTTTAAAGCGTTTAAAAAAATTTGGTCCTACCAGGGGCGTCAAAAATTTGGTAATGTCACGCGCTTCTGCCAAGGCTTGCAGCACCAATTCGACGATCTTTCGATAGGTGGACTCGAAGACAGAATTGATTTTTTCGAGCACAAAACCGATTGTTTTGATACGCTTATCGCCCAACTGATCGGCTAGATTCTCCAAGTTCTCCAAGCGAGTTTCCCAAAAGGCGAAGAGCATATCGGGTTTCGGATGTAATTCCTTGTCATACATACGGTCACGACATTTTACCAAAACTAGATCTTCAACGGAGTCTTGCCACTTGACCACCATGATTTCCAGCGAATGCTTGAGTAGGTTTGTGAACTTGCTTAGATCGCTGTGGAAAAATAAGCAAATATGCAAAAAAAGGAACAAAAAAATGTTTCTATTAAATGGGGAAGTTATCGGTTTTTCATAAAGCTTGGAACAAATTAAAACCATTAAGAGGGCTCACTTAAAAAACTCGCGGGTTTTCCAACGGAATTATACAATTTATTATATCTATTCATGTTTAATTGAGGTGGGCAGACTTGAAAGAAAAAACCTCCAAAAACGAGTTTTTTATAGATAAGTTTCAACTTGAAAGAGGTCTGTTTGAACATTTTATCCATGGAATCTAAATATTAATATAATTGGAGCTCACGTAAAACCTACTATTTTTCCGAAATATTCTGGCACGAGTTTTCAAATACATACAAACAACTCCGTCGCATGATGTTCATATCTTAACGTTAGGTTCCAGAATATGGTCAAAGTGTTGAATCTCAACTAAGCTGTTAATGTAAGTAAACTGTTAAGGACGTTTCGTGTACATTTTTTTTTACAAAATTTAGAAAAATTTTGAAATTATGCAGTTTAATAGCCCATTTAATTTTCGTATAATGATGTGCAAGTTCGGAGTATTTTAAAATTCTTGGTGATTTTTTTTTTTAAATTTTTTTTCCCGATGGTTTTGTGTAGTTTCTTCCACGTAACGCATTCGTTTTATACGGAAAAGAGCGCAGCATCATATGGAAAAAATTGTCAAAAATCCACCAGAACTTTGAGCTACTTCAAAGTTGCATTTTAGTTGATATACCAAAACTAAGCTGCACTAAACTGCATAACCGAAATTTTCCTAAAGATTTTGATTAAAAACCTTGAAACTAAAAAAAAAAAATTAATGCATTTTTCTAAATTTTGTAGAAAGTTTGAAACATTTATTTATATAGTTTTTATTAGAGGATGAACTTTAATAAAAAAATAAAACTTTTTTTTATTGATGTACACAATTTGTACAAATATTTTTTTTTTAAATTGTGGTGAGGTTTGTTTGGCCGCAAGTATATGTATGGAATATGCATACCAACATTTTTTATTTCACATCAATATTTCATTGCTACATATATTTCATTTAGCTTAAACGGAATAAATAGTTCGAAATTTGGTGGCAAATCTTTGCCTTTTGTAAATGTTCCCTTTAATTAAATTTGTTTAAATAGGTGACACCTTTTTCAAAACTGTTTTTTAATAGAGTAATAGATTAAGCATCTTTCTTTTGTCCTTCGTAAACATCATTTGATTGACTTGACATCATTTTGTAATGCTTCATTCAACTTACTAATTAATTAATTTTCACTTTTAAACAGTTGGCAATCTTCTTAAAAACGGTTCTCGAAAAAAACCTTTCTATGCCCCTTTCGATTTGCATCCATATTGTAGCACTTTATTTAACTTGTGCAAAATTGGATTTGACTTTTGAACAGGTGGCAACACACTTCAAAATATTGCAAAAGAAAACATCTCTTCAAAATGTTTACTTAATGAAGTATTTTTAAGTCTGATTCGTTTGACATCCATACTGTAAAATTTCATTGGACTTATTATTTAAAATAGAATTTTACTTTTTTGAGCAGGTGGCAACGCTCCTAAAAAATTTGCTATATGTATACCAAATTTTACTAAAAAAAAGGGGCAAACAAATATATACACTCAAAAACTTTTCATGTTGTAATACTTGTTAGTATTTAACTTGTCAATTAAATTGATTTTGAAATCGTAAGCTGGTGCAGATCTCCCCGAAAAATTTTCAAAATACATACATACAGCATTCTTAAAAGTTTCTCGTTTGATAGGCCTATTAAAATATTTTGTTTAGCTTGTTAATTAAATTAAATTTGGCTTTTTCAACATGGCAATCGAATCGTTTTTGAAGCACTCTAGTTTGACAGCCAAATTATTTTTGATATTATATTTAACTTATTAATTAATCGATTTAAATTTTTTGAACAGGCGGCAACCACTTTAAAATTTTATACGAATCATATCGTACCACTTTGTTTTTTGGTGGAGAGTGATGCACTCTAATATTTTTTTCACACATTCAAAGCCTCTCTGTTAATCTAATAATACTCTAACTCCATTATAAATCTCCAATCCAACTCTTACCCGGATGCAATTTGTGGCGCGCAATCCATCACTTCGTCAATACATATGGGCAGTGGTAGAATTGTGCGATTAATAACGATGCCTTTCATTTGTGCTATGCCATTGCGCAAGTCCTGTGATTCAGTTCTCATATCATTAACTATCACCGATGTCCAACCATCTTGATTGACTGGATTGTTGACCACCGGAAATATGACATCATCACAGAGTACTGATAGATTTTCCAGCACATTTGGCAGTATATCACCAACCATAAGTTTCTATTTGTTTCGGTGAGATTATTAATTGAAATGTTACCGAATTGGTTATGTCAATGCACTTACGCTATCCATGTCCTCCAGGGTAAGTTCGCAGGGTATTTCGCGTCGCATGAAGTAAACAATTTTGCTGCGTGGCTTTGGTGGAAAGTCAAAGGCGGGCGTCAAAATCGAAGCAATGTTTATGTAGAAAACCAAATGTGGCTGACTGGGATTGCTGAGGAAGGTTTGTATGAGATCCTGGTTGGAAGAGAAGAAAATTAGAAATATGAAATACTTATGTAGCTTACAAAAAAAAAAAAAAAAAATGTTTCTCTCGTCTATGTACACACCTTTGACTCAGGTATACCCATCATCTTAACCCAGCGTTCGTTTTTCAGTCTTAAAGTTTTCATTACATAATTATTAAAATAATCGAAACGCGCATCGACTTTTTCCTTTTTTTCCTTATCTTTTTCTTCGGCGGCCGCCATGCTGTTTTATAGGAGTCGCTTGCAGCTCACTTAAACTGGATCAAGACTAAAAGCTTTTTCTTCACGCTGTACCCGAATAATCGCGGTACGCAGCGAACTGGATTTCTGTCCAACGGCTTTTCGCCTTTTCTTCCTCTTGCTGGATGACTCTCAATAATGTTAGGACACTATTTAACTGCCTTTGGCGTGTTATTAGTTTTACTTTTATCAGCGTATTATTATGTATTTTTTTCAAGTTATTCTATACGGAGCAAAAAAAGGTGCGCTCGTTCGGTAAGAAAATTTTTTCAGTTTGAAAAATTTGATTCTAATTTATTTGACTTTC